ACACCAATTCCCTCTCGTCAAACCATATTTAGAGAAGTACTTAACATATTCAAGAATGAAAGGGATAAGTTAAAGAAGGCCATGAAAGGTCATAAAATTTGCTTTATTACGGACACTTGGACATCTATTTAGAATTTGTGTTACATGTGTTTGACTGCTCATTTCATTGATGATAACTGGAAACTTCAAAAAAGAATCATAAATTTTCAAAAAGTTGAGGATCGCGAAGGAGAAACATTGGGTCGAAAAATTGAGTTGTGTTTGATTGAGTGGAACATTGATCGCATATTCACCTTAATAGTTGATAATGCTAGTTCTAATAATCTTACCAGTCAATATTTGAAAACGATAACCAAAGATTGGAAGGGGGTTATTTTGCAACATGAGTTTATTCATATGCGTTGTTGTGCACATATTCTTAATCTCGTTATGAGTGATGGGTTGAAAGAAATGGACAATTCTATTGCCAACATTAGATTTGCAGTGAGATATGTGAGGTCTTCTCCTCATAGGCATGATGTTTTTAAGAAGTGTGCGGCCACACTCAAACTTGATTCAAAAGTTCTTGTATGTCTATATGTACCAACTAGGTGGAACTCTACCTATTTGATGTTAGAGGTCGCCGAAAAGTATGAGAAGGCTTTTAACCGATTGAAGATTGTGGATTCCAACTTTGAACCTTATTTCAAGGATGTTGATGGTAGCATAAGAGAACTCCAAATGAGTTGGATTGGAAAAAATGTAGAATTTTTTTGAGGTTTCTAAAATTATTTTATGTTGCAACTAAGAAATTTCCGAGGTCTCTCTTTGTTACTTCCAATGTTTTTTACAAGGAAATGTTTGTTATTGAAAGCAAAGTTAACCAATTAATTTTGGAAGAGGATGATACTTTGAGCACAATAGCAAAGACTATGAAACAAAAATTTAGCAAGTATTGGAGGGATAGAAGTAAGATCAATTTGTGTTGTATGTTGCGGTAGTTCTTGATTCTACCAAAAAAATGACATACTTGGAGTTTTGTTTTTCCAATTTATTTCTTGGAGATAATAAGAAGGTGGAAAAGATGGTAGACAAGGTTAAGAGTTGTTTGAGTTGTTTGTATAGCCATTATGTCACACTTTATCCTTCAAATGAGAAACTTCTAAGTGTGAGTGAAGTTATGAATATGGTGGAAAATGATAATGATGATGATTCCTATTCTTTATTTGACTCCCAATTTAATTCCCGTTTGGAGGGGCGATGCACTAGTGGATCTAAGTTGGAATTAGAACAATATTTATCCGAGGTTGAACATTTTGCAAAGAATCAAACATTTGAGATTTTGGATTATTGGAAGGTGAATGCAACCAAATATAGGGTGTTATCAAAACTTGCATGGGATGTGTTGGCCATGCCTATTTCTACCGTTGCGTTGGAGTCAGCTTTTAGTACGGTAGTGTGTATTCTTGACCCATTTCGTAGTTCATTATCGCCTTTTATGGTTGAAGCTCTTGTATGTACTCAAAATTAGCTTCAACGCAACCTTCCAATTTCGCTTCAAAAGGTGATGGATGATGTAGAGGAATTTAAGCAATATGACTTGGGTAATATGAGAATTTATTTATCTTCATTTTTATTTGTATTATTCATTTTCTAATGTAAGTTATATTAATCTTCTCTTATTGACTCGTAATTAGGTACTTTGGAGTCAAGCTCATTTTCAAGTTCAACCTATAATGTTGATGCTATAATTGATCTCTAATATCCATTTGCTCATTGGTAATTTTTTCATATACTCAACACATTTTCTTACTATATTGAGATGCAATATATAGACATTTGTTTATCTTTTCATTACTTTATTCTTTTTAACTTTTTGTCTCAAAGGAATTATGAAGATTGAAGATTAAAGTTTATATTTTTTCAATTTGTTTTTGTGTAGGGTTCATCAACCAAATGCATGGAATTGGAATTGGAATTGAAATTTGTGACAGTTGGATTGGATGTGATTCATGATGAAGTTTGATATTTTAGAAATGTTTTTATTTTATTTCATGGGTTTGAATTGAATAAAGTTTGGCAACAAATTTTTTTTTTAATTGCATTTTGGTTTTGGATGTATGCAAGTTAATGAATTTTTATTTTTTTTTGCATTTTGGATGAATGTAAGTTAATGAAGAATTATTATTATTATTATTATTTTGTATTTGGGTTAGGAATGATGAATGTAGGATTTTAAATGTAGGATTTTTTTTATTTGGTTTATGAATGATGAATGTAGGATGAATGCAAGTTAATGATAAATGTGGATTTTGAATGATTTGTTTGGGTTACAAATTGATTTTGCTATGTTTTTGATTTTATAAATTTTTTTATAAGTTTTAATTCATTAATTATTAATGCTGGAGCATTTTAGAAAATGGGAGGAAAAATGTCCAAAATAAATATTGACCAAATGGGAGAAAAAAAAAGGTTTAAAAATAAATTTTTGAAAAAAAGTCTAATCCGCAAACTGCTCGTACATCCGCAAATCCTATCTGCACAAATCGCAAACAACATTACGAGCGGTTGCGGGTTGACTTTTCCCCAAACCGCATAGATGCGGACGGGTCCAAATTGAACCGCAAACCGTCCTAAACCGAACCACGGACACCTTCTCCCATCTACCAACATAAAGACAAATATGTTCAACACTACAGCAAGTTACACACACAAAAAAAAAAAAAAAAAAAAACCCCTTCCTTATAGGCGTTCTTCTCC